TCCTCAGTCCCTCTCCCCACCGTTGTCTGTGTCCTTGGGTTGTGCATATAAATTCTTTGGTTAATCTCTCCCCCCCACCACCCATCCCCTCTGAGATTCATCAGTCTGATCCATGCTTCCATGTCTTTGAATCTGTTTGTCAGTTTATTTTGTTCATTAGATTCCACATATAAGTGAGATCATGTGATGTTTGTCTTTCTCTGCCTGGCTTATTTTGCTTAGTATAATACTCTCCAGGTCCATCCATACTGTCCCAAAGGGTGCGAGATTCTCCTTCTTTACAGCTGCGTAGTATTCCATGGTGTAAATGCCCCCAGCTTTTTTATCCACTCACCTACTGATGGGCACTTGGGCTGTCTCCAGATCTTAGCTATTGTAAACTGCGCTGTTATGAACATAGGGGTGCATACATTTTTTTCTGATCAGTGTTTCAGGATTCTTAGGAAACATTCCTAGAAGTGGGATCGATCACTGGGTAAAACAGCAGCTCCATTTTTAAATTTTTGAGGAAACTCCACACTGTTTTCCATAGTGGTTGCACCATCTGCATTCCCGCCAGCAGTGCACCAGGGTTCCCCTTTCCCCACACCCTCGCCAGCACATGTCGTTTGTTGATTTGCTGATGGAGCCATTCTGACGGGTGTGAGGTGACACCTCACTGTGGCTTTAATTTGCACTCTCTGTGATTAGCAACCTTGAGCATTTTTTCATATGTCTCTTGGCCATCTGTCTGTAGAATTCCCTTTTCAGTCCTAGAGTTTCCATCTCTCTTCCTACACGACCCATATTTTCTTGCATGCTGTTGCCTTTTTCCATTAGAGTCCGTAACATATTAACCATGGTCAGGTTCCGTGTGGTAATTCCAGAATTGGTGTCATATCTGAGTCTGGTTCTGGTGCTTGTTTTGTCCTCATGCTGTTTTTTCTGACCCTTTGGTACGTCCTGTTATCCCTGATTGGAAAGCTGGACATGATGTGCCAGGTAAATAGGCCTTCAGTGTGAGATTTGATGTTCTGCAGGAGCTGGGCTGTTTGATGTTTGCTGTAGCTGGAGGCGCCAGAAGCTTCAGATTCCTCCAGCGTCCCTGTTTCTGTCTGTGCCGTTGCCCTTGGGCTTCCCTAAGCTCTTCCTTAAAGAGCTCTGTAGCTCTTCCTGCTGTCACACGGGACCCATGAGAACCTGGGTGAGTTCATCAAACGCCCACGAAGGCATCCCCAACACACACCCCAACACACACACACACACACAACTACAGCCCCCTGGAGTTTCTCACCCTCACACTACACTACACTCAGCCTCTAAAAATTTGTCAAAATTACCATTCCAGTGTCCCTTCCACTGTATGGCCCAGTGACCTCTGCTCCCAGTCAATAGACCTCAGCTTGATTTTCAGTGTTCACCTGCCTCTCACGATTTCAGGGTGGCAGTTTGCCCTCTGACCTCAATTTTCCAATAGACCCACAAAAAGTCATAGGTTTTAAGTTTATTTAGCTTTTTTCTTACTGTAAAGATGGAAGTTATGACTCTCAGGCTCTTTACAGGTCAGAGCTGAAATAGGAAACAGCAGAACATTTGCCATGAGCTACGGGATAGGGTCATTTTTAGCTCTGGAGACTTTGTAATAGAGCCTATCTTCTTTCGTGATACGTGCCATGGATAACTCTGAGCTCACCACTAGCCTCAACCCCACCTTACCCCTCACTCCCCCCCTTTGACCTCATTTCAGATGGAAGAGAGTGGACAGGGCCTTGTTTTTCCCATTATTTCATCATCAAAAAGCTGAAACTAACCCATCACAAGATGGCCTCAGTGAAGCAGCTACATTGAAACATTATGTGCCCCCGGAAAACCAGGGTGCAGAATGGCCCAAATTTAAATGTCCTAATCCTGTAGTTTCTTAATGGACTCATGGACTAGTTGAGATTGGATCCTCGCCTTCCCCATGCTCACCCCAAATCCCCAGTCTTCCTGCTCTGCACCATCTAATCTCCTGAGTCTCTACCAGTGAACCGTTGGTACCTGCCCTCCTGCTGGAGCAGGGATGTGGCTTCACCTCTAAACGTCAGTCTTGTCCCTTGGCATGGGTTGCTTCCCCATTTCCGTAACATAATCATGAACGTTGGACTTACCGTGTACTTAGTATGGCCCAAATCTGCGATGCTTGCTTTACACAGCTCGTCTCACTATTCCTGTTACCCTCTGCAGCAGGAAAACCGACGTATCAGAGAAAACTAGGAACTCTCCCAAGGTCACACAGCTAGTTTATGACGGGGTCGGCCTTCAAACACATCTTCCTGTGACTTAAATTCGGTGCGTTCCCTAATTTGCTCCTCTCGGAGGCAGAATGTAAGCATGTCATCACCACCACTAGGGTGCTTGTCTCCAGCGCGGGAACAGCTGTTTGCAAGTGCAGAGGCAGATGATCGAGCAGTGCTCCTGGATACAGCCCGTGGGCCCCCACTAGCTGCCCCTCCTGAGGCAAGGACTAGATCCATTCACTACTGAGACCCCACGTCAGCAGCCCTAGTAAAGCAAAATGTCTGTTGGCAACTGAATGAAATGAGCAACTTCATGACCCTACGAATGAATAAACGAAGCTACGCCCAGCGTGAGGGACTGATCCCATAGGAGAAGCCGTCCCAAGCATCATGCAGTCCTGGTATCATCACTAATACCAGACTATAAGCTTCATTGGGACAGGGACCATATAGGGCTTGTTCAAACTTTTGTTCTGTTTGATGGATGGTCTGTGAGAGGACAGGCCGCCCTGCTCCCTAAGCATGCCTGGCGGTGGCTCTCCCCCTCACTATGGACAACCCTCGTCTTATCCCTGCCTCTTCCCAGAACACACACCTTATTATCACGGTGCCAGTCCCCACCCCGTGGCTCCGCCTGCTTCCCTAACTGTGTCACCTCCCGTTAAGCAGGGAAACGCTGCATACGACCTGGGCGAGTTAGAAATCCTGCACCGGCGCCATTGGCAGGGGCTCAGAGGTCATCTCTTTCACAGATGAGAATAGTAAAGTGTGAGCAAGAGACCCAGGGTCCCCCCACAGACACGCCCCCTAACTCTCAGTTCAGTGCGCGGGGCGGGGCGCCCACAGCTCTACCCTTGCCACACTCGCCTTCGGGCACTCATGTCGGCCCCGTACGAGCAAGAAGGGAAACTGAGTTATAAGCTCAGCATACCGCATATTACTGGCCCTTCGTTTGTTTCAATTTTGGTTTGGGTTTTTTAATAAAACACATAGGAGAAGAAAACACCCAAACAGGCGACCCGAGAAGCTCGCCATCTCCACCTTCTGGCCCACCGTGGGCGGTGAAGCCAGCACTGCGTCCCAGGAACGAAGATGGATCATGGGGGTGGGGAAGGTCCTCCGGGTGTTTGGTGCTCTCGCCTCTTAACACTGGAAAGCTCAGTTGTGGTGTGAAGTGAAAAGAAATTGAATCTAAAACCCTGTGTTAAAAAAAATCATAGAACTTAGACTTTAATCACAAAGATCACTTTACCGAAGCATATTTTAAAGGCTGTGGAATGTTGTGCAACCTCGCAGGGCTTAATTACGCGTTTAGAAAAGCCCAGCACCACTTTTCCACTCCAGTAAAACATGACGGAGCACGAATCTCGGTGTGATGCTTTGTGCTTACCTCGGCTTTAGACACAGGGCTAGGGGTGCTGGCTGTCTATGCCAGGCGTGCGTTACTAACCGACCGCAGCTCACAGCCAGGGGGCTTTACGACAATTATAAAACTTCTTTTGTTTGCTTTTTAAATGATTAAAGTATCTGAGTACTGAGTACTACAGATTCGATTAGCAAATGTGTGTAGCTAGGACATATGCATGTCTTACAGAAAATACCTGAGCGTACTTTCTTTTCACTTGGGGTGAAATGCGTGTAGTAATACGGGAGTCTTACAGGAGTATACGGGAGTAATATGACCTGCTATTAACGGCTTGCGTTCAGTTACTGGGAGCACTGTCAACCTAAGATTCTGCACGGCCTTTTCGGTGCCTGAATGTAGGTTTCCTGCTGAGTTCAGGGTTGACCAGCTGGCTATTCCTCGCCAGCTCCTCAAAGTCTCTAAAATTCAGCATCAAGTGGAAACCTTACTTTCAAATTAAATTTCAAAGATTCTAAGTTAAAATATCTGCCCAGGTTTTCAAACTTAATAATTCAGTTAATTTAAAGAAAAGAAAGAAATTGATCAGTCTGAGGGGAAGGGAGGGGGGCTGTTGAGAAGAATGGGAGGGAGACTGGGATCTCCAAGTGCCCGATTCCCTTGGCCATGACGACATCCTCGACGGTGAGCAGATAGGGCACACAGTTTCTGGAAAGGGCAGCCCGCGGTGGAGCAGGTGGAAATATTATCACCAGTGGGAACAGCCCATGTTATTGTCACGGCACATATGAAGCTCACACCTGCTGTTTTCCTAAGCAGCTCTGCTCTTTCTGGATTTACCCCCAGCATCGGGGAGCCCTGGTGGGGGACTCTGGGAGTTAGGATAGTTTGCTGTCACCTTTATCCACAAAGAAGGTGGGACACAAAGAGAAAATTAATGTTAAGCCTTGAAGAAATGCAAAGCTTTTTTGTGGTGGGACAGTGTTCAATCTAAATTTTCTGACATATTTTGCCTAAAAATAGACGGTGGCCTTTTTCTCCTTTACATCTCCAACAGCATGACGCTTTTGAAAACAGACTCCTGAGAAGACTGGAGTCAAATTTACAAAATCCTTTTTACCTAAATCCTCTGTAGTCCGAAATGCCTCTGCTCCCTCCTGGGCCTCTCTTGGTGGCGATCTATAAAGTATCTGCTCAGCATTCTGTCCGAGAAGCTGCGGGACCCCTGGGTTTGCTGGGGCAACGGAGCCGCTCACTGTGGCCTGGTCTGGGAACCAGTCATCGGGCCACAGGGCCAGCTTCCTGCCAGGCCTTTTCTGTCCTTGGCATAGAATTCACCTAAACAGAAAACATTTAAAACTCTGTGTAATATTTCTGCCTAAGGTATAAAAAACACAAACTCTGCGTTCCTTTTTGCTTTCTGAGCACAGATGACCACAGGCAGGTGACCATCTGGGTTCATGAACCGTTTTGATGGTGGTCACTAGCTGTTGGGGAAGCTGAAACTGTCTGGGCATTAGCACCTGCCTTAGCTCAGCAGCGTGAACATGCGCTCTTCCACCTGGAAAGCATTCTCAGTGCCTCATCATTCCCATGACGAAACAAAACTCTGGGAAGGAACAGTTATCAGAGGGAAATCTTCAAGAATCAAACATAAACTATATTTCAGTATCTTTGGGGGGAGAAATCAGCAAACAAAAACAAATATTTGGACCTAAAAAGGCTTTTTGGACACTGGCAAACAGACCACACACGTGTGACATATTGAAACAAAGGTCACTAGTTTCCTATTTAAAGGCTTTTATTTTTTTAAATCCCTCCCCACTGTACCTGTAACTGACCTTGCGGTTCTCTGCAGATACGAGGCAGATCCAGCCCTCCCCACCGTGGTCCTACGATCAGTCCTACCAGTATCTGGGATCGATTGCTTCTCCTTCTGTACACCCAGCAACACCCATCTCGCCTGGGCGGGCCAGCGGCATGACCACCCTCTCTGCGGAGATCTCCAGTCGACTCTCAAGTAAGCTGCTTGGGAACACTGAAGTGGAGCTAGACTGGAAGGTTCGAGAGATCAGAGGAGATGCGTGAAGGGGCTGGTAGTCATTGTTAATGGGATAAAATGTGGTTTAGAGACAGGGTTGTCCAGCTCTGAGTCCTTGACACCCAGAGGCAGAGACCGTGGATGCAGGGGCAGAAGTGGACTCCTTGGGCACTGTGGGGCGGCTCAGGTTCCACAAGCAAAGGTGGCAGCGGAGCGTCAATAAAAACATAGGCGGCTAAAGAAGCCAGCCTCCAGAACCCAGATGGGATAAGTCCATCTGGTGTGGGCACGCTTTCACAGATCCTGTGACCAGCACCCTGGGGTGCCTGCGGAATGGGAAGCAGATACACCCCAATTGAGACATTTCCAGCTAAGTGCTGCGCACACCTGGTTAGAGGAGCAGCGTGGAAAGCTCAGGTGGCACGGTTGGCATAATCGCTCTTAATAGGAGCTCATTAAATATTAGTCATTTAACCTGCGAGACCTCTGGGCTTGGCACTCACCTTTGCTCGTGGGCAAGG